AAAAAAAAAAAAAAAAAAAAAAAAAAAAAAAAAAAAAAAAAAAAAAAAAAAAAAACAACGAAATGAACCAAAAATTATATTTTATTGCTATGTAAATATTATATCGATGATTGAATAAATTGTTTTTCTTATGAAAATTTATGTGATACTAGTACTTATTCATTCCCTCCTTCCAATTTCTTTTGTCCAACAATATACTTACTGCTTTTAATTCTCACCAATTTTTTGTTTCCTATGTAAAATTAATTGATCTCGTTGCTCTGTTAACTTACCATTGTAATATTACACCCATTATACGCAACAAGTGAGCTAAACCGGTGATATTCAACACTTGGATGTTTTAAAAAAAACATTCGTGCCAAAAATCGGCAACTCTTTGTCTTTGAAGGTACACCTCGAAAGCATCTACTGCATATTTATACCACAGTAAAGTGATATTTTTTAAGGGTAACTTTCAAGACTTTGCATTGTGAGTGACGCCACTTTGTATAGGTACCGAATCGAATGCGAAAACAAAAACTCTCAACACTCGGATTTGTCGATAATCAAAAAAAGAATATCCCCTCGCAACGAGATCAATCACGCGTTTTATCAACATATAGATACATCCCACGCCTCTGCCCTGATGTGATAATAAGTAAATATCCGTCATCGCGCTCTCCTCCTTTCCACCGCGAAAAGCCCGCCACGCGCGTTGAATCAACAAAAAAAAAAGGCAACAATCACCAAAATAAGGCAGCTGAGTTTCCTTCAATTAAACCTCCACACCCCACCTCCCCGTCATCTTTTTAATAAACCCCCCCCCACCCCCTCCCTCTCTTTCTCTCCCTTGACGTTTTACCACGCGCGCGCGTGCTACGTGTCGTCGTCGTCGTCGTGTGTAACTGCAGAGAGAGAGAGAGAGAGAGGTTCGAGAAACACTCTTGCGCCTAATTGCCTCTTGTAACGCGTCAGGTGTGCATATACGCGCGCTTATTCGCTCTTGCACGGGCTTTTCACGCTGCGCTGCACGTGTGTGTAATATACATATATATATATATGTATTATACGTGTGCACACCCATACAAACGAGCAGCGAGCGCATATGGTAATTGGCCAATTTGCGATTCCCGATCGATTCCAACGTGTGTTATATATATATATATATATATATGCGTATACATTATAGGTACGTACGGTCGGAATAAACCGTGCGTGCGCGGACTTGACCCGAATTCACCGGGCGCTCGAAATCGGATGATTTTTGCTCGAAGGAGGTGGTGGTGCTTCGAATGCGAGAAAGAGCGGCGATCGGATCGGGGATGATTGTTTTTGTTTTCGGCATTGCGTTTCGCTGGATGATACACGCGGTGATAGATTCGGCCAAAGTGCGCCGATTGCCCGCGTTTTGGGTGGTGCGAGCCGGGCTCACCGATTTTCTCGAAACCACCGGTATTTGTTATTTAATTGATTGCGTCACCTGCCTCCAACCTTTTTTTTTTTTTTTTTTTTTCATAATGTAAATAAAACTCTGTGTACATACTCGACGCGCTTTTTCAAAGGGTAGATATTTACGACACGGGAGGAGAATAGATTAGGTATTTTTCACGTATCGATATGTAATATTTATACCCATGTATAATGGACGCAAACGCTTCCAAACTACCCGGGTTCTGGAGTGGTTTTCTGACACACTTTTTTGCGACTGCTTAATTTGACATCCGATGCTCTCTCGGGGAGAGAGGTTTCGCGAAAATGAAAACCGTGCCATTAATATCGTGGACACGCGGCGAGCGCGCCCTGTACTTACTTTTGACGGTAGTTTTCGAAAATGCGCCCGCGGATGTACATGTACTTGTACACATTATTGCTATACATATATCGCAATTTGCGCGTAATGTTAATATACACAAGAGGTATGTACTTGCGCGTTATAACGAAGCACGTTTACGGGACGTATTTTTGATTTATGCGTCTCATTCGTAATAATACGCGCTACTGGGACGAGTTTATTCTATTTTTTTTTTTTTTTTTTTTCCGTAGTAAAAATGGAAGGAAGAAAATCGGTTCCGAAAAATTGACACATTATTGACACACAATTGCAGACGATCGACGTATAAGTTTCGCACTGGAGAAACAAAAAATTTGGCTATGGATTATTAAAATAATGTCGAACCGACATATTTGAGAAAACGAACAAGTGCTATATACCTGCAAAATTATTTTTCTTTAAATTAATATGGTGTTGGCAGCTCGTTGTGATCCTAAAATGAAGAAAAAAAAAATTGATGAAACAGCAGTGCATTGTCATTGAAAAGTTTGAGGGGAGAAAAAAAAAAGAAAGAAATTAATGTCCCCTACTGAAAATTCGAATTAGCCAGCCATACGGAAATCCCAGTCCTTAAAAATGCAAGCCATCGCAGTTCAGAGCTGCTCTGTGATCATCGGCAAATCAAGTAAACACGGTATGGTGGTAAGTATACTCATACAATGGCATGTATATGCGCTCGAGGAGGAAAGAAAGAAAACCAGGACACACCGGCGGCACGTTGGGTTAGCGCGTGTATACACTCACGTGTAACGTGTCGAATAATTGTCTCCGAGAATCCGATGAGGCTCGTAAAAATCATGGCAAAGAACGAGGCCGCCGCCGCCGCGCGACGCGAAGACGAAGAGACCCGGAAGAAATTACTTGACGTCCTGGATCAAGATCGCCCTTTAATATCGTCATGTGTTGTAGGTATCGCCGGACCCAGCTTCCGACGAACCGGTTACGTGTACTCTCTTTCTTCGCCAATGTACATGCGTTGCGAGATGCAGAAGCGCGCGCGTGCCTTTTTTGCGTGTGAGACATCAGTCGTGTACAAGCACCGATGGAAAGAAATACTTTATTGCTCGGATTGATTGGCGAACCAAAACATTTATTTTTTTTACTTTTGTTATTATTATTGCTTCTTTTTATTAATTAGTAACATGAGATATGTATTGTAATCAGACTTCATGGGCCGATCATTGTATAATATTGTGTTCTCAAACGCTTTGAGAGAAAAATTTTTTTTTTCACTACTATCCACGATACAATATGTGGGAAAGCATTTCTTTTGTTGCAGATAAATCCAACACATTTCAGATATTATAGTTTATTGTAGAGTATTTTATAAATGAAGTATTTAAATCCTTTTTCAAATTTTTGGAATAAAGTGTTTTGTTTTGGCTAAGAAACAATTATTTTAAATTTATAAGAAAAACAATATTTTAAAAACACTTGTGCCCAAATCTGCCAGTAATTGTATATTTTACCCACACTTTTGTGAATAAAAAAAAAAAAAAAAAAAATGTCAATGTTAACAAGTGAGTACAAGGGGAACATTGAGGTAGAGGCCACAACATAACAGAACTGACAAGATAGAGTACAACATGGTATATCATAAATATACCTTTATTATTTTCAAGTCTTTCTCCGTGCCAGCATCTTTTTGCCGACAGCCCGATTCCAACGTGTACATCGCGGGGAGATTCTTCTTCTTCTTCTTCTTCCTCGATGATTGACCGACGCACGCGGGAGAGTACGTGTATGTAATGAGAAAAAGCGAGGAGGGACGATGAAATTTAATAAGACGATTACCGCCACACGCACCGGAGAAACGTACGGAGATTTCTTCCTCTCTCGACGCGCTGTCGCCCTCAACGACGATTTTCACTATATAATATACTGTACTTGATCGCGTCGCCCAATGTTATTATACCCATCGAATTTACAGTGCGGTCGTGCGTGCTTTCACACTTTTTGCTCCTATAAAAATCACTTCCATTACTTATTACCCATTCGAGTCATTGGTGAAGAAAAGAGAAATCTATGCGTGATTTCCGTGATGCTTTTATCATTGACTGCACGTTACCGAGTTTTTCAACCATTTTCAAATTTACATACTTTCCCGAGGAGTTCTCTCACGCGCTCGCACGATAAGAGAAACTAAGTTGGTAAATAAAGTTCTATTCTGTATATGGCTATTGTTTATGTATATGTATAGTAATTTTATAAATATACGTTTGTTCGAAACTGTTATCGTGTACCCGAAATAGCCATCGCGTCGATATTTTAATCAGCTGTTTACTACTTGCAAAGATACATTGCAACTCGTTGCCTTTTACTTTCGTTTTTATTATGAATTATTTTATCCCACATTGCAGTTATAAAGCCATCCCTTGCATCGTTGGATTTTATATGCTCATGAATTTATAAGGTTTCGAAGCTTAAGTTATGCAGACTCAT